TCTGTTTCGTAGTTGTGAGATCCATTACCTGGTGGGTAATATTGTCTGACAAGCACAGACGAATCGTTGAAGCTGACTTTTCCTGCATCTCATCCCAATCATCCTGTGTGACCTTCTCTAACTTTTCTGCCAGCATCGCCTTCTTCATGCCCTGTTGAACCAACAGATCTTTTACCTGCCGTTGCCATATACCATCGAATCGCGGAATCTCGAACTTAAGAGAACTTGTTCCAGTGATCGCCCTAGGATCACAACGTTAGCCTAAAGTTCTGATACCAATTGTTGTGAATATCGACCCTATGAAAGATCTATGAAGAAGCAATAAACAAAAGAAGAGAGAAATCGATTGAGGCAAATACCATTTTGTCTAGGGTTTTATTGATTATGTGAATGTTATTCTCTTCACGCCTTACAAACCCTTATGACCCCTTTATATAAGCCTCAAACCCGATACAACAAAGAAAATGAAATATTCCTATATTCCTGAGTTACACCGTCCTACCCCATATATGAACCCTAGTCTAGCCTGTGATGTATCTCAGACCCAATTAGATTTTGAGTCACACAGAATAACAAATTTTGATACCTCACTTGACTGATCCTAACCCGAAGAGCTTAGTTCATGATAAATATTTCTAGAAATCAGGAGTTTTATCAAATGTGCTACGCATTACAAGTGATTTGGAGTCAAGGATACCAGTGTGATCAACGAACAATGAATGAAAACCAAACAAATTTTCGTCTACGAAACTACTAAGAAATTATGTTCTTAGTCCATAAATTTTCGTTTATCATGCGGTTGGATAATTAGTCCGCCTTCAGATTTTGAGGAGATAAGTAGAAATCAAATTAGTTTATATCTTTTTGCTATCCAAATTTCGACCACTTTTCATTCATGTATTCCCTACACCCATATGATCGAATTTATGAGTGTAAAATTAGGTCGTTTTGTGGGAAGACACACAAAAATGTGGGCTTTGATCTGACCCAACATGACACAAAAAAACTCTTAGAGCATGTACATTGGTCACAACCCCTTAGGGGTTCTCAACAATATTAATAATGTTAATTTTGCTTTATCAAATGTTTAGAACCCCATTAAAATTAATTAATTTTCTTCCACTCTATTGGTTAGAACTTTTTTTAGGGGTTCTGAATTTTGCAACAAATACATCAACAGATTCCAACTACATGGATTCCATGGAATCAAATTGCAAGTACCTTCACTACACTTAAACATAAATATGAAACAAAAGGTAAGGCCTACAACAACCACGAGAACAGAATACTGCAACCTACAACAAGAGAGGAAAATGCCTTACTTCACTAAATTGCCATGTCACCAGGAGAATCATCAGCTCAATGCCTTTCACAAAGTGACAACGGGAATAGAACCTATAGTTCTCAGCAGACTTGGAATGGAACACCACAAAGCCACGACCAAAACCTCTGCAAAAACAGAAACAAAAAATTAGACAAGTGTGATTAAAACATAACCATGAGAAGCATTGGTATTAATCTCTGATCTATTTGTTTCTAACATGAATACGATCACAGTTATGGTCCGTGACTCTTGTAACTCATGTTCCTCTTTGTCTTCTTCTTATGCATCTATACAATTTTGTTTTACATATTTGTTTTTGAAATCAGTTTCTTGTTCGTTTCTTTTGTTTCTAGTGACAGGATAAATATATTTTGCTTAAAATCAGTTTCTTGTTCCTCTCTTATCTCATCAATGGATCATTCGGGACTACAACCTTCTACCTAACCCTAAAGGCTCGTCCTTTTTTGTTCGAGAGAGAGACTAACCCTAAAATCTATGATTGATGAAGAGATTTGATCGCTTCATCGGTGATATCGGCAACAAGAGAGACAGGCGACACAAGAGAGAGAGAAAAACGATTTAAAAGTTTTTTTTTTAATAAATGTGAACCAATCAGAAACAATTTTGAAGAGTTCTACGAGCATGATTATATGTAGTAAATATGATTAGGGTAATATATAAATTTTATAATATTAATTGTATTAG